AACGCCGATTTTACTGTCATTACGTAGTTTAGAAACCCAGTTAAACCGTTTTCTGACCTGTATTGCCACCATGTGCTGGAGTTAAAAGAAAAAAAAACGGTGGATTAGACAAACCTTCGTTTAGATTTAATGTACCTAGCATGTATGCGCTTTGGCGTACAAAATCCTTGTATGAATTAAGACAACAACGTTCTAAAAACGTGTAAGTAAAAACGTTCCAAATAAATTATAGGGTATGGAAATTAGGGACTTTATTTCTTCTGCCTACTTAGCACCTGCGGCAATTACCGTGCTACATCAACTAAAACGCTTGCTCTTTTGGTCTTTGCGGAAGATACTTCGGTAAATATAGAATACTGGGTGCTTCCTATAGCAATACCTGGAACAAAATGCGTAATAGATGATTCTTCTTTCCATTTATGTGTAATTAGCAAATTACGGTGAGTCACTAGGGTAATTGTGACGAGGCGCTATATTTATTAAATGCGTTAAATGAATTATGACATCCCTATGTGTTGTTGTCGTCTACAAACAACCAGAGTTTGTCAACTCTTATTGATGACTATATCAATAAGAGTTGAAGCTTTCGTTGTTAGAAAGGCGGATAAATCATGCATTCCACCACCGTTGGATAAGCTTAGTTGTGAAATAAAAGGCCTTTGTGTCATTGAGGATCTATCCAAAGACTTGGAGTTTTCCATCGGCAAACTCCTTTCAAGCGCAAACTGCACCATCACTTTGTGAGCGTGTATCTTATTGTGGGCCCCAGCATGTGGTCTTGAACCACGCCGGGGCCACGGAATTAACCCTGGCCCAATTACGCTTGCCTGATGCCCGCGATGAAGGAAAAGACCGGAGAGGACGGAACACAAACGTTTACTCCAGAGCTCAACCAAAACTGGTGTCGGTGAGTATTTATACTTCGGATGTATGAGTCATAGATGCGCTAACATCGAGACCTAGGCGTGAGACTAATCCAAGATTAATATCCGTGTGAATGCAGGAGGGAGTTGAGGATTCGCGCGGCTGGCAACATGCTGCGAAAAAGATAAACCCTGTGTCGAAGGCGGAGCGATCGGATTAAGAGGTTGAATAAACACGGTTCATGACAATCTCAATAGATCTATGCGGAAATGAAATTGAGGCTGTAAAGTAATCACTTACCGTGAGTCCCGAAACAATTATAGAACATCATCGTATTTTAGAAATTGTGAATACAAATTTGCACTATTTTTTGCTACGAAGTGAAATTGCTTTATGTTAATTTTTAGTTGGCAGAACTTTGGCACTAGCAATCAAGGTAAATTGCAAATAATTCGTGGCCAACAGCAAAGCTAAAGTGGCGATAGTTTTGATGCATAGCACTCCATATGATTAAAACCTTTGCTGACGTCACATATCACCTCCGTGACAAGTTAGCCTGTGAATGATGCCGTACATGGAACTGTAACTGCACGAGACGAATAAGGGAATGACATTTTTAAAATATAAATGCCTCAAAGACGGCGTTGTCATGAAGTAATGGGGCAGTGATTAAGTCCCAAATTTGTGCTTATATTCTGCGATCTAATTTAAATGATATATATGGTCACATGAAATGTTTCTTCTTTAGAGAACTGTGATGTCAGTAATTGTAACTAACGACATTCTTCATGAACGTCACTTAAAATGTCACTGTTAAGGTTTGCAGTTACTTGACAGGTTGAAAAGGCTTTTCTAGGAAACGGGCAAGCGTAAATTTTGCAAAACGGACATTAAATAGATGTAGGTTCATTCAGAACCTCCCTGTCCCTTATCCGTGGTATATAACTGAATTTAAGACCATACTCTGTTGACTTCACCTGTTTTTAATAATTAGAAAGTCCTGTAAAATAGTCCAAAATGCATTTACAAATGAAACATTAAATGCTACTCAAAAAGTGACAAATAGAAATGCATGTAGCAACTTGGTGACATTACGTTAAACTTTGATAGTAAAAGACTTGGACCTCTGATTACAAATAAAGGCTCAAGTTTGGGCAGCAAAAATCTAATGGGGTCTAACACGCTATTTTTTGAAGCAAAATTTGAAAGTTTTTTGGTCAGAAACTTGAAGATTTTTTTAAAAAGGAAGATTGTTGATCAACATTATTATTATTAAAAATCTTAATTAGCCACAGGATAGGACGTGAAAAATGAACACAAGAGCTTCAAATATTCTGCACATGCCTGTGAGTTCAAATGCTAACTCAAATACTACTACATAAGTTACACACATATTTTTTACTACTATAACTTAATAATCAGTGATACGCAGTGCGGCTTATATAGGTTGCCTAAAATAATGTGTTCTGTTAACTTCTACGAAGTTTAATATAATATTGAAAATAAGAGTTCACCTGATAGGACTAGTCACTCCCTTTTATTTACTACCAAGGATAATGTACAAATATCTTCTGAAACGCAAAATTAACACAGAAATCACATACTATGAGCCTAATATCAAAAATGGTATGTTAACTTATATTGATTGATTTTACCAAGGCAGCTAGTGAAGTTTGTTCACCAAAAACATTCTTTGTAATACAAAATAAGTATAAAAAAATGCTCTTGTTATGCTTGTTTGCATTAAAAAAATTAACATAAAAAAGATAAATGCAGTCTATTTGTTGAAATGTATCAGTATTTATTTATTTAAGGTCTTCTGCGGATATAAAAGTTCGTGAGAAATTCATCATTTTTTTCAATAATGACAACTCATTGGATGATTTTTGCATCAGCACCATGGTTGCTGGTATTCATATGTGTTGTCTGCACAAAAACCGGTTAAGTACTATCTAGAAAATTTTGCTTAGAATTAGATGATATCTGACTTCTAATTTTTAATCACATTTTTGATTAGTTTCTGGATACTTCAATTGTGCTAGAAAACAAGCATTGATAAAAGTTATTCTCTAGAAAAAAAGCAGGTTTAGAAGATCTGTCAAGATGCAACATCAATTCTAGAATATAATTGTAACGTTTTAAGGAACTGTCTTTGAGTAGCACATAGAATCATATTTTGTCATTAGCCGGTTAGATTGACAATGAAGTAATTTGTTTGATTGTTATTTTGATGGATTTAAAGTGTCCAAATTTTAAAAAAAATAATTTATGATGAAATCATCGTTGGCATTAATGGATTTTTGCATTACTTCAAATAGTGATGAATTATGGACTTTAACCGCTTGATGTGGCTTGACCGCAATAATGTATCGAAATTGTGATATTGGTTTTATAGAGATTAATTGCACTCGCTTTAATCAAGTCGCGATCACCTGTATGTGTTCAACGGTCGATAATTATGCAAATGCAGATTTTCACTTAGGAATTGACTCCTGATGATTGCAACGGCTTTATAAAATCTTAACCGGATCTTAAAATCTTTTACTCTTGATACGTTAGCATGTAGAAAGCAAGCATTTTCTAGATATAACCTCATGTATGTGTCTGGAAGATGCAGGTGTCAACTGTCTCCAACCTGCAATAAGCATCAAGAAAACGCCTTATTACGTCCGCTAAAAATGCTCACAATCGAGAGGATAGTACACGATTTTCCAACCAGGACACGTACTTTGACAAAGTGCCATCTTTTTATCGATCTCCTTGGCAGCTCAGATTGCAGTGCCTGCTAGCATTACTGAGAAGGCTGCTGAAACCCGAGGTAATGCGCTTTCTGATTTAACTTGTTGCCTTTTAACAATTCTACGTATTCACAAAATTGCCTAAAACATATCTGATTTTTGTGTTTAAAGATTTATTGAACCATTTTCTGACTTGCATTACTGCCATTTGCTAAAGTTAAAAGTAGACAAAAACTCTTGATCAGCCAACTTCCTGTGTAGCTTTTGCACGTTAATCAACTTCTTTTGAAATTATTTTAATCAATGATATGCAACCGAATGATGCTAAAGCTTTCAATTGTTTACTCTTTATTTAAAATAGTTAATGTTGATGCGAAGTGAGTGAGTGTTCTTTCTGTTCATGGCCATTCTTTGGAATTATTCAAATTTTCGCAGACACTATTCATTTAAGTAACATTCGTCCAGTATGTGAGCAATTCTCTGCAAATCTCTTAGATGTTCACAATGGTTGATGTCCTTAGCGAGATGACACATTTGATTGCCATGAGAGAGAGAGAGAGACTTTTAAATCTGACTAACGTTTCCATTCAACGGTCCTACAGCAACGCTTTGCAAAAAAAATAGGCTTCTCTCTAGTTTTGCAATTAAATTAGCTCAAGACATTATTCAAGTAAGCCAAAAGCCTGGTCTTCTCAAAAGAGCAAATTTTGCAAAGTGCATTAACAAATATTTTAATAAAGATCAATAACATTGTTTACGCACGCGTAGTCATTGGTAAATATTTTCATCTTGTGCGTTGTATGGTAATTGTTTTTCATTTAAGCTGTACGAAGAGCATGATTATCAAATGTAAATCGCAAATATTAAAAGAAAACGTGGAATGTAAACATTTTTGAATTTATCAGATGACGTCAAAAGGCTTGGAAGCTAAACCCCTAAGAATAGATCAGCGCGGTATACGATTTTTCTTGAGTGGGTTATATATGAAGAATTCTAGGTAATTTCTACCACTCGTAACAATCATTTAGCAATGTACTGAATTAAAAGCTGGCAAAGTCGTTGTCAAATAGGACAGAGCAGGCACGACCAAGCTACATGGCACATTTTATCTTCATTTGTCACCATTTCATTTTCTAATGGATTTATGTATGAATGTTTCTTAGCGATTGCTTTTACAGGGGAGGTTAGGCAAAGCGCAGATATTGTTCAGTCCAGTAGCTAGTTTTATAAATTTGCGTATTACCGAAAAAGAACCAGTTATAAGGTGCATTAACAACGTCCTACTACGGTGTAATGCAGAGAATTGCTAGGTAAGAAAAGTTCAGGTGAAAAATTAGGTAATGAAACTCATTAACTCAATTTTTCTCTTTTTTAGCTTTTACTGTAGCTGCGACACCTATGTCCACAACATCCATGAGTGTTTCCATCGTGGCAACAGATACTCCAAAAAATATAGAATATTGGGCGTTTCCTGAAGAAAAACCAGAAGTGAGATGTATCAAAGATAAGCCCTTTCTCCATGTATGTGTAATTAGCCCCTTACGTGCGGGTGAAAAGTGCACTGGTACAGTCAAAGAATATGTCATCGGGACAAATCCCCTTTCCTGCACGGGTGGCGAGGCGTTTGTTGGATGGGCAATGCCAAACAGTGAGTCATAAGTGCAATGGTGGCTCATTGAAATATTTCATTGAATGCGTTGCATGGATAATGACATTAATCTGTGTTTTTGGCTACAAAGAACCAGAGTCTGTTACGGTGTCAACGCTTAACTCCTCATCAATAAATGTTGAAGCGAAAAAGCCCACAGATCCTTATGGAGTTGGAAGTTACGAAGCCTTCGTTATTGAGGAGGCAGCTAAATCATGCATTCCATCACCGTTGGATAAGCGTAGTTGTGCTATTGGAGGGTTGGCAGCAAGTACACGGTACGAGGCTACTGTCAAATCCTGCATCAAAAACGAATCAGAACTTTTTTGCAATAAGGACAATTCGGGAACGGCCTGGACAAAGCCAAACAATAAGTCCCAGGTTGTTTGTTTACGACTGCATATCAGCCTGCATCTTTGTTTTTTTGGAATTGGAATCTGTTAAAGAGCAGCCCAAGTCCAATACCAAGCACAGAAGCAGAAGCGTAGCAAATTGTCTAGTTCAGAGGCTTTATGGTCACTGTGGGTGGCGGTGACGACGAAGTGGTGCTCCCGTGGAAATTCCAAATAGCAGAACACCATTAAACTTGTGAAACGGGGCCTTTTTTAATGCCTGAATTAGCCTTTCAGTAAAACCAAGCTTAATAAATTATGTTTTGTTCTGGGTTAACGAAATCATACGTTAGTCCCATTCTCGTGGGTTTTCAGTTTACTGTATTGGCAAAAGACCTAAATACGCATTACATGTTACACTTCAGAACCGGAATCTGTGAAAGTGGTGGCGGGGAACACGAACGCAGTCCAGTACACGGTGCACCGCGTTGGAGATGACTCACAAACAATATGTACATTTGGATATACAGATGATCTCAAATGTCCACTAAATGACTTAAAGCCGGCCACAATGTATAAGTTCAAAGTGAGAGCCTGTATCAAAGATGTGAATCCTGCCGTCTGCAGTGAAGATGTGACTGTGTCTGGATACACAAAGCCAAACCGTGAGTTAGGGTTGAAATGGTGACATGAGGACTTGCCTTCGTGCCACAAGTGCTTTTTGCAGTGAACCATTTCCAAATTGTTCAAGAGATATCTTATTTATTACAACAGAACCAGAGTCTGTGAAGGTGAATCCAAGTTCAAACTCATCGCCGCTTGTCGAGTTTTAGGCACCGGCAGACGCAGAGGGGATTGGCTACTACGAAGCATTCGTTGATAAAGATTTAGGTAAATCGTGCAAAACAACATCGTTGGACACACTCAGCTGTGAGATAGAAGGCTTGGAAGCAGGTACGCAATATCAGATCAGTGCCAATGATGCATTGCTGACACAAATCCTGCAGTGTGAAGTGAAGCGATGGCTGGGTCAGGATGGACAAAACCAAAACGTAAGTCATAATTCGATGCTTATATCACATTTTACTGTTTTGACTTAAGGCCTAGGTAAACTTGTATTTCCCACTTTAGAATCGGAATCTGTGAAAGTGGTGTCAGAGTCGACGACATCTGTGGCAGTTACTTTCAATGCACCAGCAATGAGTTCGAACAATCCCCAGTACACGGTGCAGCGAGTTCCAGAGAACGTAGAGCTAACCTGTTCAGTTGTTTCTGGAGCTGAATGTAGGTGTCCAGTGGAGGAATTGGAGGCAGGGACAGAGTACGGATTTAAAGCAATAGCCTGTATCAGTGTTACTAGTCCGCCTGTGTGTAGTGAGGAGGTGTCAGCCTCTGGATATACCAAACCTAATGGCTAGTTCGGGTTTAAGCTGCTATGCAGTATCTTTATTTGACTCTTTGTGGATCGTATAGAAATCTGTCAAAGCGGCTAACTTTTTCATTTTGAGGTGAATTTTCTTCAAATACCTGTCACATTATCACAAATTTTACTAGTTGCTATATTGCTCACTAGGTTGGGTATAATTGTGTCTATCAGTCTGCATATTGAATCTTTTGTTGATTTGGTTACAATACATAGATTGCGTGATTGGCCGCTTTCATGCTCATATTTGCGACCCTATTCACTAGAGTCCCCAGCAGGTTACATAGATGATCATGGAACTAGATAAATGGGATACCTTGAAGGTAATTTTTAACACCCATGCCTTCCAGCTCCAATGAACGTGGAGGGGAAAAGTGTGTATTTTAGAAGAGTCGCAGTCGGTTGGCCAGAACCAGGTAGAAATACTAAAATAATTCAGCTCAACCAAGCGTGTTTTTGTTGCATAAAACATAGGTTTAAACTATTAGATGCTAGTAAGTTGTTTACAAGTTAATTATTAATTAAATCTCGAGCAACAACAATGCTAGAACAGTTAAAAGAATCTTTCATCGCAATTCAATTGATTTCAGTGCTTTGTTAATATAGTCGGATAAACATGAAAGAGTTTCAAGTGTGTTGGAGGTTGTCACCCAAATACTACTTCAGATGTCTCACCAATGAGCTTGGTAATGATGGGTTGCAAAAAAACTAAAGTCAGACGTCTCTGTCTTTGATCTTAAGTTATCCCTACCATTAAGGATACACAGACGAATGCAGTATTGTTACTTGACGTGAAGGGTGTGATCACACCTACATTTATTCCAAAGAAGATATTATCTCTTTCTGGGTATTCTCCGATTTACGTGCTAATTATTAGTTTGCTTGTGGTCTTCCTCGTTGTCATCCTTGTCATCATCCTGATTTTTGTGTTCTGTAGAAGGCCAAAGTCGTCACACAATGTTGAATATTGCGACCAAAATGAGAGAGCTAATTTTACCTAATAAATTATCAATGTTATGTGAAGTTGAACTTAGTAAGAATGAAGATCAGTGGACTGTGTGCCAGGATCGAATACCATTTTAGTACTTTATATCGCTGAAGTTTGCTTGGTCTTAAATCATTAAAAACATTTCAGTACTATTCACACATTCGAGTCCTAAAATCAATAAAACATATTGTTCGGCAACTGCAGATTGACATTTAATGTAGATAGTTGATTTCAGTGCCAATTTTCTCAATTTTACTTCAGAACCATAAGGCATGGTTTAATTTACGACTTTACGCGCGCCCAGAACATGTTGCTTATAGCATATATTAAAGAGTTCACTGGATCATAATCAGCCTTCGACCGCCCACTTACTGTTCAATTCCACATTTTTACGTTCCACCAGGGTATAGACTATAAACCATCTAGCACACACTACACGGCAAATGAATTTTTAAGCCTTCGAGCAAGACTCATGCCAGTAAAAAACGCATGCAACAAAATAATAATAAACTAACACTACTTAAGAAAATGATGAACAAAACAAAATGCCGCTTGTATGGATTTAATGACAGATAGACGAAAATCCACCTTAAAACTCCTTTCACTTAGTTCTGGCATTAGACGGCATTTGTGTTAGCTTTTTGCCCACGGCTGCTATTTAATTTTAATTTCTCTCTATACGCCAAAGACAGCATCGCTATGAATACATTGCTCATTAAATACAAAAACCCAAGCTACCAGCTTTCATTCTTTGTTTATTCTTTCAAAAATCAATTACACATATTTTACTAAAAGTGCGCCTAATTTAAAATTTTCTGGCTTCAATTTGAAACCTAATTCTGGTAGGGGTCCAGGAAACAGGACGACTATCCTATCAAACTTTTATGACGTGCAGACTATATTTTTCTATACAAGTCTAGTGTTGCCTTGGTGTTCGCCTTATTATCCGATAACGGCGAGACATATTGTTGCTACAAATCAATAAGTATTGCTGAATAAATCTTAAAATCCCTGCTTTTTTGCAGGTAAATTTGACCTTATTTGCAAAGTTAATTATCGCGGAAATTTTAAAACTAAAGGATGTAATTTTTTAATAGGGCTCAACCAGCTTTCCAGCAGATATATATTTAAAAACCATGACGCCATCGTGTAAAACAGGTAGCTTTGTGCTTTTTTTATTGAAAAAAAATTTGCAATTAAAAGTTTCTTTGACGATTTCAAACATAAATTGCTTCACAGTTGAAATGGAAAATCATTTAGACCAAGTTGTTCTACTTCGAGTGAGTAAGTTAGCGAGTGATCTACACATACCTTGCGCTAAAACAAAAGTATTTCATGTTGGGTGTTTTTTGGTTGTGGCATTTGGATTGATTACTTTCAATTGATCCCCCATGCATTTTGGCTAATTACTAGACAAAACATTCATCATTATTTACTTCATTAACGCATTGACAAAAAGCGCAAGCAGTGATCGGTATGAGTTGCATCAAATTGAAGGTGACTCAATGCTTTGAGAGGTTTGTATGAGATATCAATACAGGCTGATACTTTGATTAACCTGAATTCTTGCTGACTTTACCGTGACACTTCTCGGCACGAGGGGTAACATACTATTAAGTTTTGCTTGCAATCAAGACCACACACTCACGTAACCGGTACTCCAGATCCATTGTTAAACTCTAAACCCCACACACCTTCCCACGCTAATGCAAGACGAGGCAAAGCCTCGAATAGGAAGCTTTTAATGCCTCAGCCCAAGGCCAAGTGATTTGTCGGAATGGACCAACTTGCATACCTCAAGGATGATATTGAACAAAGGATGAAATCAGGTTAATCAGACATGGCTTTCAGCAGCCTGAAGTGGGTGACTAATCCACTGAAGTGTATGTATATTTTGTAAACAATGACAAATTTCTGATCCGTGATGAGCCGTCTTGGAAAATTCTGGATTCCCAAAGTGAATTTCAATCTAAGTGAACTCTCTCGCACCGGAAAATGAATTAAAATTTTGAAAATGAGTAAAAGCAGGCTTTATTCAATGAAGACTACAGACAAAAGCTTCCATTTCAGTTAGGTTTCATTAAAAAAACTACTCTCATGCGTTTGCACAAAATAAAAAAAATTCAAACAATTGGTTGCTGGGACTCACAGGTTTTGTCTTAGCACAAGTTCGGCCAACGTAACAATCGAAGCATGGACCTTTAGGTAGAAAACAGCTAAAAATTTTACTTCTTCTTGAAGTTGACGTTTACCAATACAGAAACAGATGATAGTTTTAGACGCAAGCAAGCACAATTGATACTCAAAATTAGAATTGTCTAAAGCTGTGTCTAGAAGCAGGTGAAGAGCACGGTGAATTGTAAAAATGACTGAGTTTCTGTTTCTGTTTTCCTGCTACTTTTCGGTCAATTGATAGAATAAATAAAAAAAACTGAGAAAGAGGTCATATGACAGGATAAGCGATTTGCAATGCACGCGTGTTTAAATATCGTTTGGTGGTATTTTGCGGGATAAACGCAGTGGTGTTAATGGATTTTGGCAAAACAAAAAACTGATAAAAAAGGATTAACAAAATCCTTTTTTAAAAGTTACAATTGATAGCAAAGTTCTGGATTTTTTAACGAGAAATGAAATTGTACTTTTGTTTAAATGCATCGGAATTTATTTATATAAGGCCTTTGGCAAGTATAAAAGTGTGTGTGCAATGTAACACCCATTCAGTGATAAAGCATCAGATGGCAAATCATACAATAATTTTTGAGATTGCACTCTGGATGCTGGCATCCGTATATCTTTTTTGTTCAAAAACCAGTTAAGTCTAATATGCAATCTTGCTTGACTCCAGTAAACTTATAAATGTATCCACACTATTGTTTTGGTTCTGTGTCCTAATTGATTTTTTAAATTTAAAGCACAGTGTTGAAGATTATTTAAACTATGACTTCATTATAAAATGTTGTAGCATTCACTTCATTCTGTTTGTGCTCAAAAATCTTTGAAGCATATTTTGCCAAGGATAGTTTTTTACTTTGTAACTATTTTTTGAAGAATAATGTGCTTTCCAGTTATGTGAACTGATCAAGATTTTTGTATTTACAAAATGTTGTATATTAAGTTCATTTCTGAAACCTTTTCTCTGCTATAAGAAATCCTATATAAGCTCTATTCGCCTAATATTCACTGATTCTTTCAGCAGACGCTTCTATTTACGAATTGATTTCAAGTGAATGTGAATATTTTAATAAATTAAATGTTCTAGACCATAATATGATTCAAATTAGTGTAGACTCTTAATGTGTCCACACCTATTAAGCAGACATTTTGTGTAGCTATTGCCGGGTATGTATTGTGAAGGCGTTTGTGTCATTGTTCTTTAACCTGCTACCTGCACCAAGCTTGCACTTAATTTTATCGGCTAAATAAGTTTGCACTTTTTGCAAATAAAAAACAAAATTTTCCACTAAGACTGGTGTTTTCGATATATGCCACCTTTAGGCATCGTTTTGGCTGCTCGGACAAGTGTGAAAGCTACCGAAATCTCAGGTAACAAGTATTCTGGCTTACTTTTTGTTATTTTGCTAAATTTTATGATCGAAAAAGAAACCGCATATGTGCCAATAACCTGCTCATATTTGTTGTGTTAAACATTTCTTGAGTCGCGCACGAACACGCATTCTAAATTCATATCAATCTAAATCTTTCTTATTATTATACAAATGAAACGACTTAAATGGCATTCTTTGTATTGGTGGTAATGGTTTTGAATTCCGACATAAATATCACTACAAGTTCAAAGCTGCTCTTGAAACAGTCATTACCGTTGATCCTGTTGATGCTGAATCATGTACAGTTGGGTAGGCATATTTTAGTTAATAGGAAATGTGTCAGTTAGTCAGTTTTATTGTTCGCTTCCTACTTGGTGTGTTAAATGTTGGCAAAATCAAAAGTTTATGTCTCCTTGGGGAGAATAGTTGGCAGATACTCAGCGAATTTTACTGAAGCCAAGTCAGACTCCTATTAAAGTTGAGTTTCATCGCTGGGTAATCTACACGATCCTTTTCGATTCTGGTAAATGAGCATAAAACGTAAATGTAAGAAATTGCATGACTAAACAATCAATAATCCTTGCGAATGTCAATATTTGATTGAAAAGGCTTTGAGAGTTGTCTGGTGTGTCCACTAAACTAGCGTTCAGAAACAAATAGCAATAAATGAAGATGCTGTCTCGTTTTTCGATCAAATATTGTCCGTTAGCTGTGTTAACTGGGTTTTATTTTGGTCGGCAATGTGTGGCACAGTAATTGAATGCAGAGTGCCTTTGACATTTAAAATTGAATACCTGAAGAGAGTCGTGTCTTTATGGTCTTTGTTGGTACAATCATCTAGCAATTGTTTACATCAAAAGTCACAATTGTGATACTGAAGTGACAGCGGGGCAGAATCAAAATGGACATTGCATAATACAATGTAATCACTGAAAAGTACAATTGAAGTATAAAATCCAGTCACAATAGGCCACTGCGGTTTTTATTCGGTATATCATGAAGCCTTGTTTAATGTTAAAAGTGGAAATTTTGCATCAAGGATATGAGGATGTTTTTAAAATTTTATTCCGCAAGTGTATATTACAATTTATGCACTTATGTCTTTAATTGTCATTTATGACAGCATATCTATCGTATTTTTGTGAACAAATCTACAGTTAAACTGCGATGAATGATTTGAATCTAAATGAACGATACTCGTTTTCGATTGTTCTTTTTATCAAGGTAGAGTAGAGATTGTCCGTATATCATTTTTACTACTTTGATATTATGTTTGTAAATCCGAAAACATAATATTTGTTGGCTTCACAAGAAGTACGAATTAGTTTATAATTAGCTCCTAAGATTATGGATGCACACCACTTTCAAAACCCCAAGTCAATTTGTGGGTTTTCCACCTGAAGACACGAATTACATTGCTGGATAGGATATAACTTTGAAGGCCTTAATTCTGTGGTGACCTATAAAATATTGTCTAGACCAAACCTTATTCAGGAAACTGTTAAAACTTAGTCTGTCAACGTTGTAGGACAAATCGCAAAGGAAAGTGCAGAGGCATATTATTGTCCAAGTAATGATGTTTTGTTTTTTTTTACTTTAGTACCTACAATAACGGTGGTACCAGCGCCAGAATTCACGTTGGCTGTTTTAGTCAACAATGTAGACTATACGGATGGAAAATTCGAGTACTGGGGGTCTCTTGATGGCACAGCGTATACAAAATGCAAAGACAATCACCAAAATACCCATTATTGTACATTTAAAGACTTGGAACCAGGTAAAACGTACACTGTAAGAGTCAAAGCCTGTCTATGGGGTAAATATCCAGAGGAATGCAGTAAAGACGCACAGACGCCCGGATGGACAAAGCCAAATCGTGAGTCAATAATAAAATTTTGACGCAATGCATACTTTCTAAAAGCAGTTCCAGATAAATAATAAAATCTATGCGTTTTGTTCATAAGCGCCAACGTCAATTTCGATGATGTCGCTTACCACCGCTGAGATAACTGTTGAAGTAAAACCACCTACGCTCCGCAATGAGATTGACAGCTATCTGATTCAACTGAATGGAGACAAAACCTATAAGTGCATCCCGAAATCTCTGGATAATCCAGTTTGTGAGGTACCAGGCTTGGAAGCAGGTACAGAGTACAACGCTTCTGTTAAATCCTGCATTAATGAGGCGCCAGAAGATTTTTGCAGCGAGGACGTGAAGGGATCTACCTGGACAAAACCAAACCGTAAGTCCATACTAAGCTGTTAACCCTTGCACCATTGCTTGCGTGACTGTTGTTTCATGTTATCGTGACAAAGAAAGGATTTACTGCCTAATGTATTTCCTACTTCAGCACCGCAATCTGTGACGGTGGTGGCAGAATCCACGGATTCTGTGGTGATTCATTTTAAAGCACCTACAGTTGAAACGGGGATTACCGATTACGAGGTTTTGTTGGAGGGACGAGACGAAAAACCAAACTGCAAAAAACCTTCCCCGAAAGACTATGAGTGTCCTGTGCCAGGTTTAGTAGCAGGATCACAGTATAATGTCGTAGTGAGATCTGTTATTGGCAACGCTAAGCCTGTTGTCTATAGTGAACCAATAAAAGTGTCTGGATGGACAAAAACCTACCGTGAGTCACTATTTGAATAATAACGCAAGGCATTATCTTTACATTTGTATAATAATAATAATAATAACATTAATTGCAGCACCAAGAAGTGTGGTGGTGAAATCAAATACTACCACATCGGTGATTGTTGACGTTGTGGCACCCGAAGTCGTTACAGGAATCGGGTATTACCGTGTTACCGTTACAGGAGATAAATTGATGAAACTCTGCGAAATACTATTGCCGGGTACGCTCAGTTGTCTGATAGAAGACTTGAAACCTGGTACAGAGTACACCGCTACAGTCAAAGCCTGTATAACCGGTACAGACCCAGCCATCTGTAATGGAGAAATTAAGGGATCTAACTACACAAGACCAAACAGTAAGTCTCGACTCAAGTGTGAACCCTTGCATCTCTGCTTGCGTGCATGCTGTCTTGTGCTGTTGCAACAAAGGAAAATTAATGCGTAATATGCTTTCTACTTCAGCACCGCAATCTGTTACGGTGGTGGGAGAATCCACGACATCATTGGTGGTTAATTTCAAAGCACCTGTAGACAACACGGGCATTACTTATTATGAGTTGATTTTGGATGAAAACCCACCTGAAAAAATCGATTCTACGCAGAAGCTTCCCCATAAAATACAAGGCCTGGAAGCAGGAACACAGTATATCGTTAAAGTAAGAGCCTGTATTGGCACAGCAAATCCCGTTGTCTATAGTGAAGATGCAGACATGCCTGGGTGGACGAAACCCGATGGTAAGTAAATGTGGGAACTTGGTCTGTTGGCTGTTTAGAAAGGTGTTATAAATCTATCAAATTGGATAGGTTTGGCTTCTTGTGGTAATGATGCTAAAACTTTTGTTTTACTGAGGCTTTGGGTGGCGTCATAAATTTCCATAAATTAATCGTAAATTCATCACAACTTCTTCTATTTCCGTTGATAAATCAGAATACTGAAGGTTCTCCTTCCTGAGCCCCTTGAGGGCATTTGATCAAAACACGTAGAATGTATAATTGACTGCGTTTGCGTTACGATTTGTGACCAATTAGGTTGCCTAGATGAACACCGATTACGTCAAAGTTAATTTTGTTACATCTAAACATTCCAGCTCCAAACAATGTGAAGGTTGAAAAAATTTATTCCCGGAGTTTCTTTGTCACCTGGTCAAAGCCAGATGGCAATAAAGACATTAAGTTCTTTCAAGCAATGGCAAAGGAAATGGTTGGAGAAGCCGCTCCCATAGACGAACACATGTGTCGCGTTGAGTTCCCGTCCAGTAATTTGCAGTGTTCGGTTGATGGCCTTAGTCCCACTACAAACTACTCCATTTCCGTGAGAGCATGCATGCCAGATGGTACATGTGGAGCTGAAGCTGGCTCTACCTATGTAACTACTTGCCGTAAGTCTCATGATCTTAATAACACGTCAAATATGATAATGCTCTGCATACATTTAAATTAGTAGATGGTAGACAGTTGCGTGCAAATTAATTAGGCCGAATGCAAACGAAGTAGCTTCAGATGCGTTAGACAATTTGACATGTGAGGATGTCACAAAAATATCCCTTTAAAATTGTCATTGATTGATTGATTGATTTCGAAATCCTTGACCTTAAGCTAACTCTTTTATTGAGGATAAATCGACAAATTCTTTTTGAGACAATAAAATGGAAATTCTGTTAGACGTAAAAAAATGATGGTCGTACTTATTGAAGTTCTGTTCTTTTCCAGAGGATTGTCCGAATTACGCGCTTATTATCAGTTTGCTTGTGGTTTTCTTTGTTATCATCATCGTCATCATTTTGGTTTTCGTGTTGTGCAAAAGGCGACAGTGGCGCAGCAATGCTGAAAATTACGACAAGAACGAGTGAGTTAATTTTAATACAGGGACGTTTAAGTGTCCAAACCATGCGAATATGAACCTAGCGAAATAGATGATATTGGAGAGTGCTGGAGTGTGCGCCAGGCTTAAGTTCATTTGTGTACCGCAGTGCATTGGGCATCTGTATAAACCCCGTTTGCTCTTCAACCGCACATTTGAGTCATCATTAGTAAAATAACACGCTTAATTGCCCTATTGCAGACGGAGACAGTGCGTTTAGATAATACTTTGCCTTTTACGTGAGAATTTTACAATCAAGGTGGGTGTGGTGTCTCGAGAACACGGTGTTGACAATCTTGTTTGATGCCTTGAACAAGGGCCTCCGGGGCTATAGAACTTGCGTCACCTGTAATAATTAAAAATTAATTTAAATTAATAACTTCTTCGTAAAAACCAAAAATGTGTTGATTCTGGGTCAAACCCGTTTACTAAACCTACTCGTTAAAATATGTGTGTCTATCCTGGTGCCATTACTATCGATTTTTGACTGATTTGCTAAGAGAAACTCCGTGTTTTTCAGTAATGATTTACATTGAAATGAATTTGTTACTCCCTTTAACGTAATCCTTTTTTAATGACCCATGACTTTTAAAGTAACATATTTCCTTCCATTTTTTTAGTTTTCCATCTGATCTGAAAACCATAGTTGACGTGAAGAAAAACTAGGCTGTGACTTCGTGAAACAAACTGCACAGTTGTCTTCTTATCTAACTCAAACCTGCATTAAACGTTATTTTTGTGAATTAATTTTATACCAACTGGTAACTGTTGGAACGTTTTTACACAGCTAAAATCCACCCGATATAATCGTGTAATATACTTCTTTCTCCTCTGTTATTCTATCTACTATCTAATCATATTTGCTCACTAAGCCCTTTAGGCGAGAATATTGACTGAGGGATATCTAAGTAATTGTATTAAATCAGACTTTTGACGAAAAACGCAAATAAGATTAGAACCTTAAATGACGTTCTATTGCTCTGATCCATGTTGGAATCATTTAAGCGGCTTCTGTATCCCTGATATTTAAATGACCTTACAGAAACGTCGACGTACTACGCTTTTTTAATTGAGTACATGGATTTGTCAAAGTCGCCAACCGGTGTCAAGTAAAGTACGATGTTCAGACTAATATTTTGCTTTCTGAGTACAGATGTATACTGCCGGAGATCTATCAGGAAAAGATGGTCAAGGGGTTTGAAAGTTGAAGTCTCTTGGAATAAATCATTCGAATTAAGTAGACAAATCCCATGTCATCGGATTTGAGGAGTGTTCTATGTGAATTTTAACAATTTTATAGAACTGTAAGGTTCTCGTCAAGCAAGCTTTCAATAAATTAAAAACTGGCCAATGAAAATCGTACCCAGTAAAGTCAAATGGGAGTTACATAAACAAACAACGCAAGCAGCATAAAATAAAATGAGTTTCAACTTAGTTCCGTCGAACAGCAGTAATAGTGGTTATCCATCAAAATCCGTGTCCTCTGTCCAACTTGTGATTTGAGTAAAAGATAACTGTTTTAGGATATGGCATAACATTCGGAAACTGACCTGTACGGAGAACTGTATGAAATGGTTATTGAAAGAAAGTTATTCAAATTATTTGACACACCTTTTTGTGAATTGTCTAACTAGGCAAAAGTGCATAATATTGAAGAACGTTGCCAAGTTACTGAGTTTACTGTGAGCGATAAATAACGGTTCTTTGTGTCAATGGATCGGAGTTCACTCACAAATGCCTGACAATAGGCCTCCCGTAGCAATCCGATCGACGTTTCAACTATGAAAAATTCAGATTTTTTCAAAATGGAGCAAACAGCAGTTGGTATGTTACAAATGCCCTGTGGTTGGAACATGGTCATAGCGTCCCATGCAAAAGGGACAACAATGTCCTTATGCCGGTTCAAGAAGAAACAAGGTATCTGGCAATTTACGGAAGTCCTTACAACAAACAAAATGCTCGTGCAAGCGTGGTTTGGAAATCGATTGTCCCTTTTGATCCATCACATTTATTGAACTGTGCCTTTCAACACAAACCACACACACACACTTTTGTCACCTTGCACACCTCTTCACTTTTTTTAATGATCCTCGTTGACGTTGGTATTATTGGAGCCCACACTAGTGGAAGGTTTCTTGAAAGTCAAGTACCTCCATGTGAGCTGCATACGTAGGATTATTGCAGTGATGCTATGCGGAGTTAGTGCATCTAAACCTAAATTAACGAATGCTCTGTGAGGTGATGAAATCATGGAAGTTAAAAGGGGTATCTCCACCACCACCACCACCACCACCACCACCACCACCACCACCACCACCACCACCACCACCACCACCACCACC